GATGTATTTACAATTGGTTAGGTAGTGATCAATGTCATGTATTTCAGGTCCTTCTTAGTGCAGATCGAACCCTATCGACTAAGTTGCAATGTGGCCACTAGTCTAGGTGAATGGACATTGTGTGCGTGGCATTACCTTTTTCAGTATAATTGGGAAACTTGAATGTTAAAAATCAACAATATGCTTATTACTAAGTAATCTAAATATCTAGATAACTATTATGAAGTTTATTCAAATGTTAATCATTTGAACTTTAAAGAATCATGGTAATTTTTTAATGCCATATGATTCAGTGACAACATTGTTTTTATTGAATCAATTCATTGTACTGTTTAGTAAATACTACCATGTAGTAAGAGAAATTTTTGACATGTAACTTGCTAACAGGTTTACATAATACCCAAACATTCCACTTGCTTAGGACGTAACACTGGTATATTTTAATAGTTTTCAATTCAAGTATCTTGAGAGAAAACCATGTTTGGATTTATTTGTTGCATATAATAGGGGGCAATTAATGAGGTTAAACATATTCAACGGCTACATGAAATTTCATGTTAACTTAAAAAGACTTAAATAAATACATGATCATTATTGAATTGATAAAGATATGACATGAAGTTAGGTTATCAATAACTATTGGTTCATATACATTGGGCTACAAATCTTGAACTTTTGTTTACTTTCTTTTATAATTATTCTCAACCTATGTGCATACTTTCCAATTTTCATACTAGTACCCGTTTACTATTGTTATCCATTCTGTACGTCGTATTAAGAAGTAAAGGAACTGAAATAATTATATTTTAGTAAGTTATTTTACCCCTGACTATTTGTCTATCTTTATGTCTCCGATCTCCTAAATTCATTCTCTATTGCTCAGATCATATGGAATACTGAATTTCATCAGTTACTTAATTATGTATAACTTTATATGATTCATTCTTACTTACTTATGACATTGGTTGAACTCAATGTCATACTATTTTATCATTAATATTCAGGTATCCAGAGATTCGAACATAAAATTATCATCTATTAAGATAATCATATTTATTCAAAGATTTATTTATTAAACCATTATGTTTCAAAATTTTGTTATACACGACTGAATCAACTGGCTTTTGTTGTGACATCCATGGGTATCTGTATTCAGCAACTTTGTGGATAATACATTGGTGTTTGAAACGTATGAGTTTCAGTATGAAAATCAACAATGGAATGTCAAAAGACTATTCAATGGTTATAATATTATTTTCAAGGTCGTGTATAGTACGTACATCTAGGATTGCATTATTAATTACAATTCGAGAAATATGCTAAAACTTATAATCACACAACCGTATCAAGAAATCTGTTTAGAGTACACATACGTTAAACGAGAATGACCTAATTCGGTTTTAAAGTAGTATAAACTTGAAACATGTTTTGAATAAAGTAATCAAATTAAAATATAATGTGAAGTTTTTATTGACTGATTGCAGAAAAGAAGTTATTCAGAACTTATTACTCGTCAGTCTTGAGTGCTGTTAGAAGTATGAAGGAGGTTATCACTTCCCGGTTGCTCAAATCATGAAAGAATTTTTCTAGAGGTGCCTGAAAAAGGAAATTGAGTTATGGGTAGTCTTAGTGACTTGAGAGCGTGACCGCAGTACCCAAGGCACAAGTGCTAGAGGTCAGTCACGCACGACCTTTTCGTGAGTAACTTTCGTGTTATATCCGTACGTGTTGGGACCTTACGGTCGGAGACGGATATCCGTGGGATAAGGCGAGGTGTGCATTCTCAGGGTCGGTCTTTTCTAACCCCGCCCTTCTTTGTGGGAAGGCAGCATCGCTGTCATGCTGGTTGTCTAAGGGAAAACACCTTACTGCTGTCACACCTTTGTACAGTCAGCAGTACGACTTCGCCTTCGGACCTTAGGTTTGTTGCTTTTAATCTTACTGCTCTTCAATCGAACTTTCTGGCATGGTAGGACCTTGAGGAACGATTGTTCCGGCCAATATAGCCCTGTCGGTTCATCACGATAGGCAACGGTCGGGCACTTATTACTCGTCATTATTGTTATCTACTATATATGTAGGACAGTATAAAACACAAATATTAAATGAAATAAAACTAAATGATGAAATCATACACAACCGATAGTAAATTTTGTTTATCGATTGATTTTAAAATGATCAATCAGAAGCAAACACTATTTAACCTATACTAAGACAATAATTTCGTAAACATAAACAAAGAATATATTGTTGAAATCATGAAAGAACATGACTGGTTATTCATGAAACTGAAGTTTGTTTTTTACAACTTATTGACAGATTACGTAATCAGTTAAACAATGATTCAAATATTAGATCATTAACGGAAACAATTAGTGTTACTGGCCCTAACCAATATAAATTCATAGTCTCTTGACAGATTATGACTTATTCATTAAAAATTTCTGAGAAAATATTGTCTGTCGTTCTATAGCCACATAAATGATTTTTCAAAATAAAATGTCATCAGTAATTTTATCCTTTAAAGGATATAGCGTATGAAATTCAAAATAATATTTGGAATTACCATTTATCAGAATGGGGATTTATAAAAAATTGTAGTAATTTTAACAGTTAAATTGATGAGTCACTGGATAAGGGATTGCGCAAGATCATGAATCGAGTGAAGTTAGACATTAAAGCTGATGGATGCCGGCTCAGTGGTCTGCAAGTTAAGCGTTCGTGGATACACACTACTGAGAAGTCCCATACTAGGATGAAATGGCCGTCCAGTGCTTTCAGGTTTTCAATGGTGGTTTAGCTTAGATTAATTCATGAGTCCAACTGTTAAAATTGTCATTTAGTTAGAATGATCTGACCTCTTATCATTGTAGATTTGATATTAGTTAGATATCCACTTTTCTTAAATATTATTTTACTATAATACAAAGAAGTATTTCTTGACTATAAATCAAATATTTCACCCTATTACATACCAATTGATGTTATTTAGAAAATAAGAAATTAGTATATTCAAAAGATTATATGTTTTTAATTTAACTAATCGAGAAGTTAAACAGAATAGAAAAAATAAAATAATTTTGTAAGTTTTCTGGAACTTATTATTTTATTTATTTATTTATCTGAACACATGAATATTGGTACAAAGGGGCACCGAATACATATACGCCACACAAGTCACTTGATTTCTGTGTGGGCTGTGATAACGCCCGGGCGCCCAAACCGAGCCAGGTGGTTTCCGTAGGGGCCACGCACTGATCCTTCAACTTAAAGGTCTTATCCACAGGGCAGTGGAATAACGTGAGAAGATGCACTCCCATGGTAGCCAGTGACCAATAATTGGTCCACATTGGTCCAACATTTGTTCCTTCAGGATCCTGGAGCTGATGTACACCATTGATTTGGAATCATAGTTTTCCAACTCCCCTAGGTGGAACATCCATATCCACCAACCCGGTTAAAGCGCCAGATATTCGCTTTTTATCCTCTTAACTTCGTACACAACAACAATGCCGTTAGAAGGCAGTGAATAGGAGTTCCCTGGCAACGGCTGTATACGCCTGGCCGTGTGAGATCATTTAAAGAGGGAGAGCTAACTTTCCCCACCCTCGGGCGTACCAGGGCATTTGAGGGATACACATGATCTTACCTCTCTGAGTTAAGATATTGAAAATGTTGGAGAATATTTGGAGTTAACGAGATCAATTTCAATGACATTATCCTCTTCAACTGTATGTTTTTATAATGATATAGTCACAATTCTCGTTATGAATATTTTACTTATATAAACTTAGAAGACATGTCATTAGAACATTTTTACAATTGAATAAAAGCTTATGAAATGTAACTTGTTTAGTTAATATCTAAACATTAATTCTGGATCATAATCTCTAGTGATGTGACCATTAACTTTGTAGATGATTATCAGTTTTAAAATTAAGCCCATATTATATTTATTGATTTTAAATGATCTAGGTATTACCAATAATAAACTGCTTCTTACATTAGAACTTCTCAACATTTTAACATATTTTTCAGGAACAAAAAACATGTTCATAGACAAATAGCAACATTGAAGTATATCAATATAAATTAAAACATTCTACAGTTAAATGATTTTCACAACGACTTAGGATCAAACTATTTTTTTCTTATATAGTGTTATTTTTTTTTGCTGTTGTTTCAATTTAATTTGCATTTAATAATGAAGTTGTTGTCTGAAGTTGCTGACAAATTCCACAGTTGGGTTCCACCAACAAAAATGACCAAATCTTATTCGTTCTTTGATCAATTTATCGTAACGTGTATACTTTAAATAGCAATGTAATGAGCCCTCTTGTTTGTTTCACTTTACACAGATCTAAGCATTATTTTCTGACAGCCTAATTTTGGAAATGTAAGAGCACAAATAGAACCAGAATGACATGATATAAGCTTCCTACAACTCACAATAGTACGAGGCCAAATTACTTACTTGAATACTTAAGCCTGTTGCCCCTCGGGAAGGAACACAAGCCGCCCGCCAGAATTCTCCATGGAACTCTGTCCTTAGTAGCAAGGCCAAATTAGCAAGTAAATTTACAGTTTATTTTAAAGGTAGTTTATACCTTAAATAAACTTGAAATGGAAGACCATTGCGAACCAGAGAACATGGGTCTACTAGACTGGACCCAGCACCTTTAAATTTCACATCGACTGGGCACACTACATGCAATTTATCATGACCTTGTAAAATTAAATGCATTATTCATATTCCTCTTGAGCAGTTATTCTTAATATTACAAACAGTTTTTTTTCAATTTTATTCTTTTCAAGACCACAACAGTAAAAAAAAGTGATGAACTCAAATAACTGGTCTAGTTTTGACCAAACAGTTATGTTACTGAACATTCAAAAAATTCCCCATTCAATGTTACAAATGATAAACTAAACCCAATAACTTTTTTCAAAACAACCATGAAATTCATACAGATTCATTTCATTCAAACTCAGCAAACTTTATGCATGAAGAATTGAAGCAACAGGATCATTCATTTATTTCAACTAAGAATGTTCAACGTTCTTATGTAACGAAAAAACATCAGAAATGCGCTACATCTGACAATGTTAGTTCGCAATGTTTTATTGAACCCTCATTAGTTGTCCCAACTGGTATAAGACGTCGTGGTCCTAAAAAGAAGCCAGATTCACAAGAACGTGTCGTTAGAATGAAAATGAGACGAGCTAGAGCTAATGCACGTGAACGTAGCCGAATGCATGGATTAAATTCAGCATTAGATGCCTTAAGACAACACATACCATCTGCTTTAATCGGTGGATATATTTCCTTTGATCTTGATAAAAAAGATGACACAACTATCTGTACTACTCATACCAATCAAAAACAAAATGAAAGTAATAAATTATTCTCGAAAAATCATCAAACCAACAATCCAATAGATCAAATAAACAACAATAATAATGTGAATAATTTTCATCAATTTGGTCAAAAATTAAGTAAAATTGAAACGCTTCGTTTAGCTTGTAATTACATTGGTCTTTTAGCTTCAATATTAAATGATATACACTTTGAATCGATAACAGATATTATAAAATATTTATGTCATGGTTTGTCACAGATAACGACTAATCAGATTGCAGCTGCTTTACAAAGTGATCCTTCTAGATTAATGAAGCATCATGTATCTGATAGTAATGAAAATAAGTTACCATATGATCATTCTTACAAATCGTCATCATCTACTTCATCATCACCAATTGATGATGATGATGATGTTAATCATACAAAAAAAATTCAACAAAATGTTATAAGGTCAAATTTATTACAAAATAAATTGACCGATGAACAATTAATGAACCATTTAGATTATTATTATTATTCAAATAATGTTTCATTGACCATACCAACTAATCAGTCTACATCAATTTCAAATGTTAGTCAACCTGTAGGAAATTGTTCATCAAATTGTACAGAATTATTAAAATCTCAAATGATCTATTAAATAATAAATTGTATGAATATGAAAATGTTGTATATGATTGTGAACAATATGAAATGAATGAATATAGTTTAACAATTCCTTATTTACCTATTAATTATAATGAAAATATTGATAATAATCAGTTAAATAAATCAATGAATCATGAATATTGGATAAACAAGACAAAATTACAATTACTTAATAATGAAGAAATAAATTTTATTACTCCATTAGAAACTAGTAATTCAATTCATATTTCAACTGATTCAAAGGAACCAATTTTCAATTCAGATTCTGATCTAAGATCTTATTCATATTATTGCCATTATCATCATTTAAATGGTCATTATTATGATTCATATTGAGTAATGAATATTACTACTTGTTATTACGATTAGTAATTATGAAAAAAAAAGCTTTTCTTAATATTAAGTAATATCGAACTTGATAGATATTAGTGATATTGCTAATAATAGTTGAAGTCATCATAAATTACATAATATGATCCATAATGATCATTAATATATTTCAATTATATAATGATCAATTTAAACAAATCATTTCATTTCATTCCTTCAATTGAAAAAGATCAATATTAACATGAATGATTGTTTTTGTTCTTTGTAATTGTTTCTTTAATTTTATCATTGAGTTATTACTTTATATCATTAATTATAATTATGATTAATAATGAAGTAATCTGTTATTATGACATACTTACTTTACTTACTTACGCCTGTTACTCCCAATGGAGTGTAGGCCGCCGATCAACATTCTCCAACCCACTCTGTCCTGGACCTTTTTTTCTAGTTCCATCCAATTCTTGTTCATTTTTCTCATGTCTATCTCTATTTCCCGGCGTAATGTGTTCTTCGCCTGGAGTCCCTACGGGAGCTACTGCCGGTCTCAAGCTCGGATAAAGGAGGAGGGTTGGGCATGGGGTTAGCGACCTCATCCCGTAGAAAACTAACTCGCTAAAAAAACGCTAACCAGAAAAAAATTATTATGACATGATATTTACTTATATCATGTTCTTAAATATTAATAGACAAATTTTCCACTGACTGACTAGAACATAAACAAAATAAACCAGTTTACTTAGTTTAGAGTTATAATATGAAATTCTATCAATCATTTTCATAATATTTCATAATTGAAGTTAACCAAATAATGGAATGACTTTCGAATGGCAAATTTACAATAGTTTCAATACTCGATAATGCGATGAGAAGACGAAGTTTATCGTCATGTCATTGCATTGTCGAAATTTATCAAAGTTTTAATATTATTAATATTTAAAGATTCATTAGGTTGATTCTTATTTAGTTGATTAGTGAAGTGAATTATTCATTGGAAAGAAAAAGCTGTGATAACTTTCATCTGTTGAAAAATAGGTCTCACTACAAGTATGTTAGAAATATCATCTAGACTTGAGTTTACTTGTTTATAAAAGGATGATTTACTCTATTCAAGATATTGTAATCTGAATAAATTAATTAAAAACCGTTTGAATATTGTTAAATTTGTATTTTTCGAACAGTTGAGTTATTCTTAAATCTTTAGCTCAATTTTAAGAGTTTATAAACTACAACATTTTTGCATATGAGATCATTGTTGGAGAGACCTAGAAAATTCCTTGAAAAAAGCCTTAATAGGCCCCAAAACGCTGAGAAAACATTTTAAACAATCAGCATTGAATGGAAGTTTCTCAAAAACATCTAGAAAGTGCAAAGTCACGTGTTATATTTCTGATTGGGTGACTGCCCTTCCTGCTACTATGTTTGGTAGGGTTACAGAAGTTTCCGTAAGCCCAAGGTTGCCTGAAATGTTACAAATACCCTCAATTTTCTGAACAGAAACTAATCTTGGAGTAAAGCGTTCTTTCCTTACTACTTGCCTTTTCTCTCATGTTCAAGTTTTCGTGTAGAGATAGCCTGGGGTTATTACAAGAGCTTAGGAAACCGATTCAAGCGTTCAATCAGAAGATTTATCAATCACAACCTGTAGTATTGAACAAGTGATATTTAACATAAACCTTGTTAATACGAAGCTGGATAACTGAATACTTAATAGGTCGTGTGCTTTGGCGAATGCTGATTTTATATGTCATAAACAATTTCCAAACTTCTCAATCAGCGTTTATATTTTATCGATATTTGTAAAAGGTAGGTTTGAATGGACTGTAATAAAGTTCTAGTGAGAATAAGTGACCAGTGGAGTTCAACCGGATCTGTTGTGAGATAGTAACTCACTGATAACAATGGTGGATATGTCGTTCAATTTCGTGGATTAGTTAAAGTTAAACATTAACACCGTTGGATTCCGATTCAGTGGTCTAGTGGTCAAGCGCTCGCGCGTGAGACTGATAAATCCTGGGTTCGAATCTCATGAGGCGAGATCGTAGATGTGCACTGCTGAGTAGTCCCACAGCAGGACGGAACGGTCGTCCAGTACTTCGAGGTTTTCCATGGTAATCTAGCTTCAATTGACTCATGATCTCAACTGTTGAAATTACTACGATCTCCGCAAAACCCCTTCTGATAAATAATATCAATTAATATCATAGATCTACGAATGTGCAGCTTTCCACAAAACAAGGCTGTTGAGAAAATTTAATTCTCACGTATGATTACTAATCTGTTAAAAAGCCTTTTTTGCTACTAACCCCTCTGTTATGTTCCCTCAACAGAACTCGAAAAAATGATTTCACTAATCTGTTTGAGTTCCAGAGAAACCAAAGATTGACTTAAAGTGGACAGTACTTACCAGGAAGTAGAACAAATGGACAGTAAATTTATGGACTAGTGTGTATCAAATGACATTTCACTTTTTAAAAAATTACCCATCAACACACAATAGGCAAAAAGAGAAGACGTTAAAGAAACGGTTTTATAAATGCCGTTCATTTTATCGGTTAATAGTAATTGATATATATATATATATATATATATAAATTAAAGATATTTTATCTATTACTCACAGATACCTGACAATGATTACAATTATTTGAATTGCTACACTACTTAATTTAATAATAACAGCAATGAGTTCTGTAATGTATAGAATTTTATTAACAACAAGGTGTGCAACATTGGCTTGATGTTAATTTGTGTGGAGAACACACTATGATAACGAATGTAGCGTTTCTAAAAAAAGATGGACAGTTATAACAATTTCAAATTAGGTATCCAAAAGAGAGTGAAATTGGCTAATAAGAGAAATTGTTATTTTAATAACTATGAGTAAACAGAATTTTAATGTTTTGATATCATTATTTTTCTAATTTTAACTAACCAACTAACTCATCACCACTTGGTGGTATCGCTTTGTGCTTATTGACTGTAAAACATATAGATTGTTGTAGACTTACTTTACTTACGCATGTTACTCCTCGTGAAGGAGCATAGGCCGCTCAACAGCATTCTCTATCCAACTCTGTCTTGGCAATCCTTTCCAGCTTTTTCTAGTTGTTATTCATCCTTTTCATAGAGCTAAAAATAAATACCTTATTACAAAAAAATAATTCGTTTAGTCTACTTATTTCTTAGTGAAAATGCTTTTTTTTCATGTTTGCATCACAAACTAATCCTAATTATTCAAACAGCCATTAAAAACCAGAAAGCGTGGACAACTGTCGTCTTAATATGGGAAACCTTAGCGGTGCGCATCCATGACCACATCTGGTATCCAACCCATAAACTTCAGTCTTAAGGTGGACCTTTAACGTTTGGACTAATAAGTTGCCCCCTGAATGCCCTGGTACGGCCGAGAGTGGGGAGAGTCCGCTCTCCCTCTCGAAATACTCTCACACGGCCACGCGTATACAGCCTCTGCCAGGGAAGTCCTACTCATTGCCTTCTCGTGGCGGGGGTGTTGTTTACGAAAATGAGAGGACGAAAAGCGAATGTCCGGCGCTTTAACCGGATTCCAAATCAATGGTGCACATGGGCTCCAGTATCCTGCGGGAACGAATGGCGTATGAACCAATCGTTGGTCACCGGCTACCATGGGACTGCATCTCCTTACGATGCTCCACTGCCTTGTGGGTTAGACCTTTAGGTCAAAGGCTCGGGGAGTGGCCCCCTAAGATAACCACCTGCTTCGGTTTGGGCACCCGGGCAGTATCACAGCCCACACACAAATGATGAACTCTTTATGTCTATGGAAATTACTTTTGTCGCTTTGAAAAACAAACAATTGATTCAGATTATTATCATTACAATTATTGTCATTATTAATACTAATATTATTATTACTACTATTATTGTCATTATTGTTATTATTATCATTATTATTATTATTTTCCACATTATTCACCCTCTTTTATACTTATACAGCGGCTCGTCTTTGGTGGAATTCCGACTGTATCCAAACGTTCTCGAGTCACTGTCCGGTTGAAAATTGTATGTTACCACCGAATACGAGGACTGAAGCAGATTTTCTGAAACCACGTGCACCATTCAAACTGGCTGCCTTCAACGTTCGCACATTTATGCAGGTCGGACAACAGATAGGGCTGGCTATGTCTTTGGAAAGTCTTAATATCGACGTGTGTTGTCTATCCGAGACCCGTATTCAAGACTCTGGCGAAGTACTACAAATTCGATCTCCATCTGTCGCTTCGAAAAGCTTGTTTTACGTGCGCTTATCCGGGGACCCTGTGGCATCTTCGTCTGGTCTTGCTGGCGTTGGTGTCGCACTAAGCGCTAGAGCTGAGGCAGCACTAGTCGATTGGATCCCCATTAACAGTCGGTTATGTGCTGTTAGATTAGAAAGTTCCATCAAAGTGAGAAGAAATCGGCGTGAGAAACGATGTCTTTTCGTCATCTCCGCCTATGCCCCGACAGATTGCAGCCCGGATGCAATCAAGGATGAGTTTTACCACCAGTTATCAGTTCTTCTCCAGAAAGTGCGTTCGACAGATATTGTAGTACTAGCCGGAGACTTGAATGCTCAGGTCGGGCGTCTAGGCACAGAAGAGAGTCGTTTAGGTGGCCGATGGGGACTCGTTGGTCGCAGGTCAGATAACGGGGACCGTCTACTGCAACTTTGCACAGACCACAACCTGTTTCTGGCTAGCACTAACTTTCGGCACAGTCATCGCCGATGTGCCACCTGGCGTCCTCCCTCTGCATCTCAAGCCTGGACTCAGATTGATCACATCGCGATCAGCTACCGCTGGCGTGGTTGTGTACAAGACTGCCGCTCCTTTTGGAGTACCTATCTGGACTCTGACCATGCCTTGGTCTGCGCCAATCTTGCCTTACTTTTCAGTGGACAACGAAGTGAACGCCATCAACGGATTGATGTTAGCAAGCTGGTTGCAACTTCTGTTGCAAGTAAGTATCGAACCGAGCTAGCCTCT